ATCCTGAATCCTATGCGAACACTCGGCTTTGCTCGTCTCGAAGCTCAGACAAATTATGTAGGAATAGACCTCTCTTGCTATGTGTACTTGCCCAGGAAGGGACAGACGAAGGGACCACCCAAGGGTGTGGGCAAGGCAAAGCTAACGACTGGCAGTTGTCATTCTCAACTTGGCTTTTCAGGGGTGTCTAGCGAGGGGTGCAAATGCTTAGTCCTGCTTTCCGGAGTAGAGTATAGGGAATGGCAAGCGCCGCATTCAGAAAGCAATCGCAGGTGTATTCATGGGACCTTATACTATGCCAGGAAAAAGAGACGAGGGTTCTCTGTGGATTAGATTGCGGTTCAGGCACGGGTAGGATGCCCTTCTTGCCGGCTTTTGGGAGGATTTTTTGAAATCTAGGCTGCTCGGATAGCATCAGAACCTGGCCCGACAGTTTTGAAATGGACGTCAGAAGCGAAATCTACAGGTTTCTTTCAACAAAAATCCCCGGAAAAGACCCGGCTTTTGTATCAAAACCTTCATTCACCCGGAACTTGGACCGACGTCCGCACATTGCAAACACCAGGGAGAGCAGTTGCCACTGCCAACAAATGTTAACAAGGCATGGCCACTGTACTCCCAAATGCGAATTTAAACCTACACCTGTGCGGCCAAGCAGAAGACAGAAGAAGCTCCCGAAACGACGGCAAGCATCCGCATCCTCCCCCTCATCATCCTACAGGGCTGTTACTGCATATGAGAGCCTGGACAACCGAGGGGCATCCACTTAAAGCAGTCGTTAAGATAAAACTTGGTTCACCCCACATACACTGGACTTTTGCAAAGTGAGGGCTGGGGATGACGAACCGTTTTCTGGGTAGAAGAGCTGTTGCCCTTTCGACAGGCCTAGGCACCTGCTTTGAAAATTCGATGACGGCGACATGCGCTGCTAGCATTATTCTGGTAGGGTCGCTGTTTCTATCTCTGTCACATGTGATTTTTGCAGTGGTATTATTCCGACTACTTCGTCATTTTTTTTATTGGTGCTACAATTATTTTCAGTCCGTAGTCTTTCCAAAAGATCCAAAAGTGTCTTTGCAGATACACTCGCGATTCCAATAGCGAGTGCAGTGCTCTTATCCTTTTGACATCGGGTTGCCGTTTCGATTACCACTCTTGTATGCATGATGCTTACTGCTGTCATTGCTTCTGCTACCATTATCGACGTTTTTGGTCCTTGCTGCTTACCTTACATTCGTTTCTGTGATTCCTGTTCTCATGACCACCTTGAAGCCACAGCCGCTCGCGGGTTTGGCAGTTCGACAAAACAGGACAAAATCAAGAAGGCATGAGAGGCTGCCTTAGAAGCAACCACACACAGTTCTGAAAGTGTCTTCGTGCCCCCCCTAAACCCTAAACCCTAAACCCTAAACCCTAAACCCCCCCCGTCACCAGTCGAAGAGCCCTCCGGGATCTCCCAATGGAAGGGGAGCTTTTCAACAGGCCGCCTCAGCAGAAGCCTCCTGGGCGAAAGGAGGCCCAGAGAGCTGAAAGCTTGGGCCGAGGGGGGACGCGAGACTTCAGAAGCCTCGGCCCAGGGTTGAACAGTGACCTCTGGGGCTCTGGGATGCTTTGGCAGGGGGCAGTCAGGGTGTGGCTTGGCAGTGCGAGCACATTTCAGGGCCATTGGGGCCGGTCTGCATCGGCACATCTGCACCCGGTGCCAGGCAAAGACAGAGGCGACAAAGGCGGTGTCTGGGTCCCTTACAAGGGGGCCAAAGGCGACAAAGGTAAGGGCAAGTTCAAGGGCAAGGCGGGGGATCGTCTCAGCCATGGCTGTACGTTCACAGACAACCCAGCCTGACACGCCTGGCAGGGGAAGAAGGGGGTGCAGGTCTCAGCGATGTGCATCCAGGTCAACTCGCTTCAACGTTGGTTTTGCAACCATGGCGGGTATGGTTCCGTTTCGGCGCATTCGCCTTGCGAAGACGGTAAAGCCCTGAGGGTAGACCAGTCATGCTGGCAATATGCCTTTCCCGCCGCCCCGTCGTGATTTCTTCGTGCAGTGCCACAAATCAGACGGATTAAACTTGCATGCCAGTTGATCTAGGCGACGTCCGTCGAAGTCGAAGCAGTGATCAGTTTCTGCACGCCCAGGCGCCCCCTGCCCCGCCCGCCGACCACGAGTTCTGGCAGGTGGTCGATATGCAGCAGTGCAAGGGTTTACTTGTGTGCCCGAAGATAGGGTCTTACATATTGGCCTTCGCAAAAATCGAGCCTCTCAAATGAAGAGGGTTTTCAGGATTGCCTGATTGGCGTTCTTCTGGGGAGAAGTTTTCATGGGTATCATGGCTGAGAGTTTCCGCTCCCTGATGTTTGAAGTCTGCACAACATACACTCTTAGCTTAGGCGTACCTTTCCCAGACACTTGTTGTGACGGTTGGCTCCACGAAGAAACTCAGATTCGAACCCGTACAGTCGGTCACGCCCAAAGTTCGCACCCTAAATGATCCGAAGCCTCGAAAGTGACAGCGTGTAAAAATCCCTCCTGAAAGTTCCGGCGATGTCTCGGAGTACGCATCGATACACCCGAACCGTCTCAACACCCTAAAGGCTGAACCACGAATTCCAGGTGAAGATGGCGCAGGAGAACCGACAGGTGGCACTCTCCAGGGGTGGTGGGCTGCGGAATGCTGCGGAGCTGGGTCCTGAAGTCTGAAGGTTGTAGAGTTGTAGATTCATGGTAGTTTTTTTGCTTGACCTAGCTTCCTGTTCTTTGATGTCGCAGCCCCTGCAACAAAGTCATGCGTATACAGGTGGGCGTGCTATTGACATACACATGCACATGTGTGCGTGCACACACTCAGGCATGGCTAGACACACGCCCACTCACCCACACACGCACATGCACATGCACATGCACATGCACGCATACCCACACGCATACGCACACGGACACGAACACCAACATGCACACAAGTATGCAGTCGGTGTGGTAGCTGAGGAGCGGTAGGTGTAGTCGGTGTAGTAGGTGTAGAAGGCGGAGTCGGTGTAGTCGGTGTAGGTGCAGGAGGAGGAGTAGCAGCCGCGGCAGCAGCGACAGAGGGAGTTGGCATCAGCCTTTGGAGTAGGAGCGAAGAAGCATCGCTTCAAATTGCTACTTCGGTTCTCTTGCTGCATGATTGCTCGTGTTCGTACTATTTCGTACTACTACTGTACTATCTCTTCCTCCTTTGATGCCGATGCCACTGCTGCCGCCGTTTGAAGCTTCGCGTTCGTGCCGCCCTTGCGGCGGCCCCCGGGGGCCGAAGACCGCCTAAGGCGGCGTCCCGGCTCAAAGGTTTTGGACTTAGGCTTTCAGGTTTGGCTTGTGGCCGTGCGCACATTGGGGACTTGATGGGACTTCAGTACGGATCACCTTTCTGGGATTGGCTCAAAGTCTTCTCTCCGCTACTCGTCTTCGACGCGTAAGAGCTGCCATCGCCCTTGTTCAGTCTATTTCAGTCTGCTGGACGGACAATGACTTGTCATAAAAACGAAATTTTGTGTCGCTTCCAGCAAATTCTAGCGAAGGCGGATCTCGGACACTGCAGGGTTGACCGTGCGTCATCTTCCGCCTAGAGGCCAGAGTCATAGTCTGCCCCTCCATTATGCAAAGATCTCAGAGCAAAGCTAATGCAAGGACAGCAAAGCAAAGCTAGGGAAGGGCAGGGTGTCCACTGTTGGTGCAGAGATCCGAGGTTTTCGGCGTGCCCTCCTATGGTTGGGAGATGTTTCTTTTCCCTCCAGCTGCTGCTGCTGCTGAATGTGCAAGCGCAGGATCAACAGCTAGGCAGGAAGCATCGCTGAAAGAGCAGGTCTTCAACTAATTCCTTTGGGGCCCTGGCATGGTGACCTATGGAGCCTTCGAATAACTCCTGGTTCGATTGCATGAAAGGCCCGCCTGTGGACTTCAGTGTGGACTATCCGCTGGAGCAGACCGAAGGCTGGGACCCGGAGCCGCAAAAGCTTTCTATGATATGGGGGTTTCGGAAAATAGGGGACCCTCATATGGTACCCTGAATAATAGGATCCTTATTGTAAGGACCCCAAAATAGGGTACCCCTAATTTTCGGAAACCCCCCATAATGCCATAATAGTGATGCTTAGATCTCGTACACCTTGTTTGAGCCGGAAGAGCCTCCTTACGCAATGCGCACATGCCCCACGGTGCTCAGAACGGCTGCTGAACGTGGTGTACGGGACATTTCTGCTCGATGCGGAGCCACGCAGCTGCAAGAACGTCGTGCCGACGGGGTAGGGGCCACTTCGGATTCTTGCTCTGGGACGGTTGTAGCTTGGAGTTTTGTTGTCCTCCTCCTCCTGAAACATGCTGGAACTAAGGATCATGATGGTAATCAGACCGCTAGGCCATTGCTACTGTAAAATGCCAGAATCCGTTAGCCTTTGCTTTGAAATTGAGGATGAAAAAAGTGGTAATTCGAGTCCCCTCAGAGCTCCGTGCCGAGGCTGGGCCTCGAAACAAACTTTGAGGACATCGCTGCTTGGAGAAGGGAACACTCAGGCTATCATAGTGGCAACACTACTCATACTAATACTCGTAAGAAGAGTACTAGTATGGGTACAGGCAGTAGACATACCAGTCCTAAGATAGTTTAATAATAGTAATAGATACGTGTTTGCCTGCGCTAAGGACAGGGTGGTCAAGGCTACAATCGGGAGCATCTGCCAATACTCGCCGGTCCAGAGTGCACCTGTCGTCGTGGCGCGATTTCTGGATGCTTGTCTTCAGTGTTTGTTGGCGTCGAGTGTGCCGGTGGCAACGGTTCCTTACTGCTGTGGAGGGGAGGGTAGGAAGTTGGGTTGAGGAGCGCTCGGAGTAAGCATGATTTTCGGGTGGAAGCGTCAGGTTGCTTCTGCAGCGGTGAGCTTTGAGAGTACGCCGCGTCCGTGCGGGTAGTTGCCTCCCATCAGTTTTTCTAAGGGTGCATAAGTAAAATCGATGCAGCCACTCCCAGGACATGCAGTCTCTGGCGTTCAGAAGAAAGACGTTTCGCTTCGAATGGAGCTTGCTGCCGCAGCAGAGCCACCCACTGCCAGGGGACTGCACTCGGCACTGCAAATAGGTTTTCTGAGCGGTGTGTTGTTACCATAGCACTTGATGCAGCCAGGCACGACACTCTGTGCTCGTGCATATGGCCGATCTTTGTTGTCTGCATCTGCAACTTGTGGCTGCAGATCGCACACAGTGTTGAAAGACTACTGTAGGTGCGTCCAGTACGAGTACTGTCGTCGTGGATGTCGGTATCGTCGTGTGGCACATTCGAGCCACAGCCAAAAGCAAATAACAAAAGCTACTGTACGCGCTGCACACCACGGGGGGGACGAACTTGGATCCTACAGGCGGCAGAACTTTGCGCAAGGGATCCTGCCCTGGAATCAAAGCTAGGCTACCGGCAACAATGCGCATATCATCAGGATGTGTTTGACTTTCAAAGGTGATTGCTCCAGCGTTGTCCCTGCTGCCTTCTGCAGATGCAGAGGTATGAGCATGTTGGCCCAGATGAGCTTTGGGCCGTCCGTTCCACCCTACGAGGAGGCCGCACCGTGGGATGGAAGTTTGGAGGCCTTCCTTATCCATGTCTTTCCCTCAAGTCAGGGCTCTCGGCTCTCCTGGCTGTTCAGGGTTACTGAGGTCAAGGCTGCGAGTGAGCCGCCAAGGAGCAACATCCAGAAGATCTCGTTACAATTCTTCACCTCATACAACAGGCGGTGTGGTGGTGGTGGTGGTGGTGGTGGTGGTGGTGGTGGTGGTGGTGGTGGTGGTATGCCATATTGGAGGTAGTAGCAGCAGTCGCGGCAGCAGTGGCGGCAGTATGCCTGCATGCCGCAACTTAGGGGAATCAGCACGACGAAGACATAGCAGATCTTGCAAGACGGCAGGTTGGGAGGAGCCCACCGGCCATCAGGCGCGAGCTTCCGGGAGAGGGATTACAGGATTGGGGCAACCAACTAGGAAAATGTAACTTACTGAAGAAGCCTCGTGTCTTGTCTGGGTTGGGAGTTGTACGAGCTTCGACGAGCTGCTCCAGTTTCAGCTCTTCAGAACCGCTATGCACTGCTCAGGGTTGGGCTTTAGAGTTTCCTGAAATTTACGGTTCGTAGCATCCCCAGCTTTCGTCCGGAGGCAAGTGTTTGCCATGGAACTGGCCAGCTATGCAAACACTCGCGACCCGGCTTTTAAACATATGATCCTGCATGCTGTAGCAATGCTCGCCTCCTGGACTCCTGCATGGGGCAGCAGAAATATGTGTGGCGTAGATAGAGAAACAGTTTTTTCTAGTCTGGGCTCCAGTCGGTTCAGGCGCTTTGGATTCGAGCTACTGGGGCCTGACTCTGGGAAACGTCTCTTGCCTCCCCGCCCGAGTGACACGCAGCTCGGCAACCAGGTTTGAAATCCGCTTTTGGGTTCTAGCTTTCGTAAATTCGTAGGCTTGCAATGGGGTTTTAAAGTTGAGGGCTGCGGGGCTTATGTTACGATTGGAGTCTTGGAGGCCCCCTACTGGAGAGCTTGACTACCGGCACGACCACGACGCCACTGCCGCTGAGCGCATGGCACAAGACTTTCCGATCCAATCATTCTGTGGAGTCTGCGCAAACCAAGCACCTACGCAACTGTATCAAGGCCGACGCATGTTTGCGATGGTCGTATGTATGCCACGGGCAGTGGCGCTGCTCGTTTGCACTCTGTTTTGGCTCATTCGGATCTTCGTGCTACAGGAGAGTGGGCGGTGGGCGGTCATGGCTTTGAAGAGGCGCTGTGCACCAACCAACACCTTGCAGCTGAGGAAGACAGTGGGTTTGACCCCATGATGGTGCCTTGCCAGCTATGCTGAATAGTAGACGTGCCGTTGGATTCTGGTGAGTACGGGTGTGTTCCGTGACCCTTTGCAGAAACCTTAATGCTGGTCCAGGAATGCTGAAAGGGCTGGTTTCACTTCAAGCCGCCGGTGCATTAGGCCTTCGTGCCCAGGTAAGCGACTGCTCTGTGGCGCAGCAGGAGAAGTTTCTGCACTTCCACTTTGCACGTGTTCTCAGTGACAGCATGTGGCGGTGCTGAACACCCGTACCCGAACTAGTGCCTTGCACCCTGAATTGACATCTGGATCCACGCAGACGCAGCTGTGAGCTTGCAACTCAATGCCAATATCCTTGAAGCGCTGAAGCTGCTAAGCCGTAATGCTCAAAGCGTGGATCCTCTCACAGGGGCCCTACTCAGAGGCTTCTCCCAATCCGCCTGGTTTATGTAGTTATGTGGAGCTGGAGGGTGCTCTGCTGTGTCCTAGAAAAAACCTTCGAGGGTCGGCGTTCGATCAAGGGTTTGATTGTCGTAGGTCACCTCTGTGGCCTCTGTGGAGCTTGTGGGAGTTGTCCTTGTCCAACTCACATGGAGCAAGCGCTGTGTGTCCATATCAGGTCGTTTAGCAGTTCGCCCCCGCACCCGCCCCGCACCACTGAACTGATCGATTCGGAGGCACTAAGGAGAGTTGCCCTGCCCCCACAAACGATACCAGAAGGTGGTTGTGTGAGTGGAGCAGGTGGAGGGCCCCCCTCCCTTCGAGGTGCCCCCTTCCCGCTCTGCCTGAAGGTCCCTTGTCCAGCATGTTTAGAATGCTTTCGCGCAGCGCATACGTGTTGTCTCGGCCCTGCAAGATCGGCACTAATTTCTAGCAGCAGTTTCAAGGGCCATTGGCGGCATGGCGGCTTTCGTGTGGACTTCAAAGACATGGCTTTATCGCGAACGCATCTGGCAGCTATTGCACTCTCTAACAAGATACATGTCTGTACGGTGGGCCATAGCGAACCTTGCGGTTGCCCATGCAGCGCATCACGGACATGGTGTCCCTGACACACTAGGAGGCAGAAAGCTGGTTGGCACGTGCCGGCCCGACAATGCCAATACAACCAGGATTTTTTTCACGTGTACGTAATAGTTATGCTAAGCCACTCTCGAGTGATTCACAGTGCTGTTCCACACTGCTGTGCAAAGGAGTCGCTTGAAGAGTCGTCCCTCCCCTTCCTTCTCCTAGCTTCGGGGTCCTCTTCTCAAGTGCCTGGAGGAGGGCTGCTGGGTGTGCTGAGTAGAGTAAGTAGAGACCGTTAGTTAGGCACCTTCGAAAAAAGGAACCGCGTGTTTGAAAGGACCCGTGCCTTTGCGCCGCCATGGACTACTGCGAGTGGCAGCCTGGATCAGGCGCTCTGCAGGGTTCAGGGGTTTAGGGTTTTTTAGGGGTTTAGGGTTTAGGGTTGAGGGTCTAGGGTTTAGGGGTTTATGGTTTGGGGGTTTAGGGTTTAGGGTTCGTTCAAGTTCTGTCTTTCGAGGGCTTCGAGACCTTTCAATTGAGTCGACGCCGCACATGTTTCGGACTCGGAGAGACTCGGGTAGACGATTGCACGGCTCTCGCTGTGGCATCTGTGGCTCGAGGGCGCCTCCTTGTCCAAAATCGGACTCCCTTTGTAGTCCTGCGGCCTGCGTCGGGTTTATCATCGTCCTCGTTTCCACAGACTCATGTGGTACTCGACTATGAACCAGAGCCTGCCAGACTGACGCTTTCAGGCGAGATACCTGGCGGTTGTGCTGCCACCAAATATCCAGGAGTTACCTGCGAGGCGACTTGGCCATCAAAGCATTTTTGCTGAAACCGGGAACCCAACCCAAAAGCCCGGACTGCTGTGGAGTTGCCTTGTTGGGCTTAACAGTACCACCGTCACTATACAGTTCGCGCAAATCACACGGCTGCAAAGCGGGAGAAAGGCGCAGCAGTCGAAGCGAGACAGATGCGACGATGCTTGCACCTGTAGCTGCCAACATGGCGTAGAACTCGTGAAGGGAAAGCTGTTCGACTGAAGTGCGGCTCCTAGAAAACGCCAGCATCGAGTTTTTGTGCAGGATTTGTTCACAGGCAAATCCGACATCCGGATGTTGAAAGCTGAGCACTATCGATTTGAGGCGTGTCCTTTTCAGAGCAAGTGTGTGGAGCCGGATCAAAGCACTGTCTGCGCTGACAAGACGGTGGCTCCCCGCCGGCACTTGGAGGTTGAAAGTTGTTTCCTGTCAAATTATGCCGGCGCCAGTCTAAGCCAGATTTCAATTTGGTCCTCGTGAGGTCAACAAGCAACAGAAATCAGGTCGAAGCTGTAGCAAACGAAAGACGAGCGAACAACTGCAATACACTACTAGGAGACCAGGGTTCGCCGGCAACTTTGTGCGAACAGTAGATGCGGACTCTAGCATTGTCCAGCTTTCATTTTAGTCCTCACCGTTGTTTCTTCGAGATCCCGCTCTTTGCTTGAAGTTTTTGGGTTCATGCTGCAGGCCTCGGTAAGTGGCTCATAGACTCCATGGATCCTAGTTAGTATTGGTAGAATCCTCATTGGGACCCCTGATTAATCTAAAGGTACCC